GTAGCCGCCATGTGGGTGCTGGGAATTGAACCCAGGTCCTCTGCAAGAGCAGTCAGTGCTCTTAACCGCTGAGCCATCTCTCCAGCCCCAAAATATGTATTTTTTTAAAAGGACCAACAGTATGTATAGTGGCATACACCTGTAATCCCAGCACTGGGGAGGTAGAGGCAGGAGACTTGGGGTTAAAGGCCAGCATCAGCTACATAGTGAGTTTAAGGTCAGCCTGGGCTACACGAGACTGTCTCAAACAAAGCAAGTATGTGAGAGAGCACTAACAGCCCTGCAAGGACCAAGGTCTGGGTGGGGAGTGGCTGGGGTGTACCGCACTTGGCCTCATGCAGGTCTCTTCTCTGTCCCTGCTGCATCCAGGACCCTTGATGCCCATATACCCCACCCCGACTGTGGGACCCCCGTTTTCTCTACTGAACCTGCCCACACCCCTGTACTCCATGATGTGCTCCATGGAACACCCCCTGTCAGCTGACATCGCTATGGCCACTCACGCAGATGAGGATGGAGACACGTAAGTGACAGTTCCTTATTCAGATGTAGACAGTGAAGGAGCTCGACTGCCACAATGCAGGGACACTCTGCTCTGAAGGACCCAAGTGAGGATTCTGTCTCCGTGTCTGGCCATGTGACACTGAGCAAGACCCCTTCCTTCTCTGAGCCTCAGTTTCCTCCTCTGACTATCTTCTAGGATCATTTTTGGAGCAGTAGGTTTATCCTTTTATTCGTGTGTGTGTGTGTGTGTGTGTGTGTGTGTGTGTGTGTGTGTGTGTTGGAGCAGGGGCATTTCAGACCTGGAGACTGAACCAGGGCCTCATGAAACTACATCCCACCCTCTCAAAAATTTTAAATATTTTGTTTATTATTATTATTTTTCTTTTTTTGGTCTTTTTGAGACAGGGTCTCCCTGTAGCCCCAGCTGTCCTGGAACTCACTATGTAGACCAGGCTGGCCTTGAATTCACAGAGATCCACCTGCCTCTGCCTCCCAAGTGCTGGGACTAAAGGCATGCGCCACCACTCCTGGCTTATTTTATTTATTTTATATGTATGAGGGTTTTGCCTGCATGTATGTAAGTGTACCCCTGTTGTGCAATGCTCATAGAGTCCAGAAAAGGGCGTCAGATCCTCTGGAACCGGAGTTACAAAAGGTTATTAGCCACCATGTGGGTGCCAGGAACCAAACCTGGGTCCTCTGCAAGAGCAGCCAGTGCTCTTAACCACTGAGCCAGCTCTCCAGCCCTCAAAACAAATTTTTTAAAAGACGTTTATTTTATTACTTATTTATTTGTGTCTATGTGAGTGTGTGCATGCCCATAGAGGTCAGAAGAGGGTGTCTGATTCCCTGGAGCTGGACTGATAGACAGTTGGTAGCTACCATATGGATACTGGAAACTGAACTCAGGTCTTTTGCAAGAACACCGAGTGCTCTTAATTGCTGATCCATCTCTCCAGCACCCCAAAATTTTTAGTGTAATCCAAACATGAGAACTCCATTTCATTGACCAATATTCTAGAAGCATCATACATACATGAAGTCCCCTGTACCAGGTCTGGTATGTGTTCAATGTGTATTGATTAGAGTTTGGTGTGGTGGTGTACACCTGTGAACCCAACGCTGTGGAGGCTGAGGCTAGGAGATGGTGAATGTCTGCCTGCATCAAGAGTTTGAGGCTAGCCTGGACACCAAACAACAAAACAAAGGGCTGCTTAGTTGGTAGAGTGCTTGCCTAGTATGTACAAGGCCCTGGGTTCCATACCCAGCATTTCATAAACCAGGTATGGTGGTCCATACCTAGAATCCCAGAACTTGGGAGGTTAGAGGCAAGAGGATCAGAAGTTCAAGGTCATCTTTAGCCACATGGAGAGTTTGGGGCTAGCCTGAGATACTCAAACATTGTGTTGGTTAATACTGCTATTACCTTATTGCAAACCCAACATGTGTGGTTTGGGAGCCTGGGCACACTCACACACACAGAGAGTGCCTCGCTTACCCTTATTAATTGGCATACTTTGAACATTTCTATTCTGTCTCCATCATTGATTCATGCCCACTAGACTGGTTTCCCAACCGCCTAACTTAGGTATCTACAGGGGAGAGTTTAGCCCTGAGCCCAGCATATAAGGAACACTCAACAGTTAACGATTGTTCAGTCACCTGGGTGTGAATCTTAACTGGCTATTTCTCACCCCTCTGTGCCTCAGTTTCCCTCTCTGTAAAAACAGGAACCAGAAGTTTATAAGGGCCTCTTCTGAAAAGATGAAATGATTTGTTTTGTTCTATTGAGAAGCATCTCATTTAGCCCAGGCTGGCCCCAAACTCACTGTATAGCTTAGGATGACCTTGAACTCTTGATCTTCTATGGATAGCCCAGGCTGGCCTGCAGCTCACTAACCCAGGCTGGCTTATAGCAATCCTCCTGCCTTAGCCTTCTGTATGCTGGGATTATTGGGCATGAGCTACCACGCTGGCCTGAGGTGATTTATGAAAAGAAAAAACAGCTGAGAATTATTTGAGGGACTGGAAACCATACCTAGAGATGATCAGATTGTGCAGTACAGGGGCCCACTAGTGAACTTCATGTTCCAGAGCCTCAGTTTCCCTTTTGGGAAACTATGCCTCATCCTAGCACCTTTCACAATTAGGGCTGCATGCAGTGATATATACACAAAGTACACAGAACAGAGCTGAGTAAACAGTAAGCACTCAATACTTGAATGAGTAATGTTTGAACAGAGCTGCCCAAGGGAGATTGTAAGCCTTGGTTTGAGCCCAAGCAGGAGAAAGTGCCAGAGATACAGAAAGGGCTCAATAAATTCTAGGCACCTCTGGGGCCGAGTGTGGAGCAGGTTTCATTTGTTATCTGTCCCCAGGGGTGAGCTGTCTGTGGTCTGGTAGCAGGGTGCAGTCTCCAGTCCCAGCCCCTCACTCCTCTCCCCTAACGCAAACACTTCTGCCTCAGCTGCCGGCTGGGGGAAATCCCTTCCCGCAGAACTTGACCGCAGCCCAGCTGCTCTGCCTCCCCCACGTCAGCACCCTTCCCCTCCCGGCGCTCCCTCCAACCTTAACCCCTTCCGCTGGGGCCCGAGACTTACCGGAATGGGCAGCTGGCGTGGCCCCAGTTTGCCTGCGCCACCAGCCTCCCTCCTTCACACGGAGGGGGTGGGGCTGGGCAGGGGACCTTCAGTCTGGATCCCCAGAGAAGCAGAGGCCTGTTGGCTGCACTTTTAGCTCCATGAAGAGAGGTAAGGGTGTCAGGGGAAGCTGCTGTGGTGGCTGAAATTTATAATCCCTGCACTGGCTAAGGAGGATAGCCTCCAGTATAAGGCTAGCCTATACTACAGAGTGAGAACCTGTCTCAAAAACTAAATTAAATAAATTAATCTCTGGACATCTGGAACCCAGAGAGGTTAGGAACTGGGGCAACTGCAAATATTTAAAAGAGATATAAACGGTGTGGTGGCCTGTCGCAAGCCCTTAATCTCAGCACTCAGGAGGCAGAGGCAGACGGATCTCTGTGAGTTCCAGGCTAGCCTGGACTACAAAGCCAGTTCCAGGACGGTCAGGGCTACACAATGAGACCGTGCCTCAAAAAAAAACAAAAGGGGGTGGGGGTGGGGGTATGTTTTATGGCTCAGAGTAGAAACTGGGGTATTGCCTTCCCCCATTGGAGAAGGGAAGAGGTAGGGCAGCCTGGGGACCTGGCACTTAGACAGATCTTGGACCAGCTTCATGAATTTCCAGTTCCTGGTGCAAAAAATAAAAAGATTTCAGCCAGGTGTGGTGGTGCACACCTGTAATGCTGGCACTAAAGGAGACTGAGGCAGGAGAGTGGTGAGTTGAGGCCAGCCTGGGCTTCATAGTCATTTCCCGTCTCAAAACAAAAACAAGGACAGACAAGCGGGGGTCAATGCATTTAAAAGAAAAAATGAAGACTCGCAGAATAGTAAACCGAAGTGGGTTAGGGTAGGGGTGAGTGGTCCAGTCTTTTGGAGTACACATGCACCTTCGCCCTAGGTTAGACCCGCAGCACCAGAAAACAAGCAAATCTTAGAAAGCTTCACCCTGTAAGAGAACACAGTCCCAAATAAACTGTGCCTGAGGGCCTGGAAATCTGTACCCCCAAAGGAGTTAAGGATTGGAGTTTTGTATTCCTGTCTTCAAAGGGATAAGGGAGGGGGGCACTTGGGGACCTGGATCTCAGTCGAAATGGCACGACTTTAGTTCCAAGGACGAGTTTATGACACTGTATTCTGAGGCCCCTAGAGAGACCTTGGTGTCCATGCCAGGATAAGGGGACCAGGAGCCAGCTGAAGGTTGAGCCCAATGGAGCTGCAGGAAGGACCTCCAGGCTGGAAGACTCAGGGTTCTGCCCCCCTCCCCTCCTGAAGCTGGTCTCCCTCCTCCCCCATGGGGAGGATGGAAGTCGGGGTGCCAGGGGGTGGCCGGGTAGATCCCCGGCTAGGCCTGGCTTCCCTCCCCCGGGAGCAGGAAGCCGAACCCCGCCCGGCAGACCTGTTACTGGAAGTCCGAGGGCTGGGCCGCCCCTCCCGTCCCCACTTCCTCCAGCCCCGCCCCACCCCCTGCGGCCCCGCGCGTTTATGGGAACTCAAGCCTGGACGATTTCTCTGAAATCATTCTCTCCTGCCCTCACTTAACCCCCGCC